AATTTTTTAATGAAAAAACCGCGGATACTTTTTAAATGACCTATTATTTAATTTTTTAACTATTTATTTTAAAATCATCGAAGTATTTTAACATCATTTCACACTACAAATGCAAGATAATACAGCAAAAAGATAATTTAGGTTTCCAAAGCTTATTTAAAATAAGTCAGAAAATTTTTTATAATGATAAATATTAAATTTATAATCGCAACTTTACGTCTTTATTTCAAATATATCTTTTAAATAAAATTGTTTTAAATATCGACCCCTAACTAATACGGCTAATTGTAAGTTAAAATAAAACATATAAATTTTTGAAAAAAAAAATTATTTCCAATATTAATCGAGGAATGGAAGAACAGAAGAAGTTATTTAAAATAATAAATACTAAATTATTCTTTTATCGTTTTTATTAAAAATATATATTTTAAATAATATTATTAAATACGATCGAGCCTTGTATATTGTCAAGTTAATATTGATAACTTGACTTTAAAAAAAAAGTATAATCTCATTAGTATTTCGTCACGAAATGAAACAATTTTTTATATCGATTTTCTCAGAATTTAATTTCGTATAATAAAAATTATGGCAAACTAATTGCTTATTGTAACACAATTGAAATATCTAAATTATATAGGTAAGTTGTGTGTGTGCGTAACGAATCTAAGAAATAAATCAATAAAACCTATTTATCAAAAAATATTGAAAATGTAAAAATATATTATTTTACTAAATTTTACTTATTTCGCGTAATATGCATTAATATTTCGATTGTCGCGCCGCCATGAGGTTTATTTTTATGCGAAAGGGTAGGCAAGCGACACGTCATATTTACGCGCAGTCACTTCATGGTCATTCAATTGCTTGTGCAGGTAGATTGCCCGTGCCATTCTTTTTCACACTTCATTTTAAAACTAAAGGTAATCCCCACAAATATTAGATAATATGAAACGTACTTTAAGAACACTCACAGTTTTTATTAATTAGCACGATTAACCCCTTAATATACCTTCGGAACATTCGTGTCTTGCACATTTCTTTTCTCTGATTTATATTAATATTATATACAATATTTGTATATAACAATTTATTATAAATATACTTTAGAAATATTTTCTAAAGATGTCAAATTATACTTTCTAGACATGTAAAAATTGTTTAATAATATTTATCTGTAACAGTTATAAACAGTAAAAGTGATGAAAATTAATTTAGAAAAGACTCATCGTGTGTAATAAGGGTGTGAAAAGCTAATGCGTACTACAGAATAATTATTTATAAAAGGATCAAGATGACAATTATGTATCACGGAACAGATATTTTGTATGATTCATTCATTTCAAATCAAAATACGATGGAAAATGTATTACTAAATTTTATGATAATTACGAATGATAATTATTTTTGTTTAACATGATATTTTTTTCTCCCTTGAGTACCCGGGAAAGAAAGCTTTCATAGTTTTATATGAAATTATATAAAATTGTAATATAATTAGATGTAATTATATTATAATTTTATGTATAAAATATTATGTATAAAATATTTTTCCCAGGAATAAATTAGATAGGTTAAAAATAAAACCAGAAAGTTGAAGAATGATATATTAGCATTTTATTTTTTAATACAAAATAGATATATATTGTATTAAAAAGCATACATATGATGGATTATGTACTTTATCTGCATATTTATGCATTTTATTCAATTACTGTTATTAATGAAGTAATATAGGCACATAAGTATATTTATTCAATAAAATGTTAATGAAATAATTAAGTTGCCAAAGTGCGCTGAGATTCATCAGTATTTTGGTATTGTTGCGTCTATTAAAAGTATTTTAATTCTCCGTAACCCATCTGAAAAATATTAAACAAATCTTTGTATGGTACTATGATATGCTATAATTCTTATAAAATACAATGTAGTCTACTAAACAATGTAGTTGTAAAATCTCAAATCTTGTCGTAATAAATATTTGGTTTAACAAAAGTTTAATTATATACGTTGATATTAAAATATTTCTCATGCATTAAGGAGAAGATCTATTATGGATTATGTACCGATATTAAAATCATCAGAACGGACATAGCTGAGCTGTAGTTCTGAAAAAAATATGCTTTCATTATACTTAATGATAATATTCTTGTTAAATTGAGAACAACTATATAAAAGAATTTTGAATACGTAAATTAACAATGAAAAATGTAAAAATGCAATCAATTGAAAAGTGACTTCAGCATTATGTTGCCAATTAGATATTTATGTAATTTACAAAATTTAATTTATTAGAAAAATTTATTTTATTATATGCAGGGTCGGCAACTTATCTCGCCCGTCGGAATATTTGACTGACAAAAGGTGGGAAGAGGCGGGGAATAAAATGACCTTTTTTTATTTTTTTATTTACTTTGTGCTCTTTGTTGCCGATCCCATTTTTTACTATTGCGAATTGCGATGTTCGAGTCGATAAAGGATCATTTTATTGGCTGCTCTCTATGCCGTAATTTGTAAGAATTGATTAATCACATTCGAATTCTTTTCTTATTCTATTGTAAAAGAGGATGTTCGACTGTAATTAATCAATTCTTACAGATAATAGCATATGGCACACGATTTCGGTCAGTATATATGATCTCTAAACGTTGAACCTCTGTTATGTGCGCAGTTGTATTGTCTTCACGAATATCGGTCGGCATCAGCACACAATGTTTTAAAAAGTTCACATTTGATTTTTAATCTAATTCTTGGATTTCTTTCGTGTGGATTTCCACACTAAGCTAAATTTTGGAGTGCTTGAAATTCCGCACTATAATTGCCGAGCCTAAATTTATATATATACATTCTATTACATACAGGGTGTCTGATAATTGTTTTGACGGAGTTTATGTAGAACGGACTAAGACGAAAGTCCTCTACCATTTTACAATTTTTGCAATAGTTAAGATATTAATTGCTAAAAATTGCCGAAAATTGATCTTCAATAATTTTTTATTCAAATAGTATCAATTTTACAGAAAAACTGCAAGAGAAGAAAATTGTTTATTACTAAACAGTTAATAAACAATTAGTTAATAAACAATTTTCTTCTCATAGAACTTTATTAAGAACAGTTGTCTGCCACCCTGTATATGCTTATACTTTTAATTAATATTGGATGTACCTCGCAAATAGAACTATATCCAAAGTAAAAGAGTCCGATGCCAAATTTTACCTCCATTAGTTTTATTTGCAATATAAATTGGAAAATCTAATTAAAATAAATAATTGAATAAACGTTAATTATACACTACCTTTTACAAAAATTTAGATATTGGTATAATTCTATTAAATAACATGTAAAAAATTGAGACATTATTATACAAAACATCAATTATGTTATATTGTTAGATATCAAAGGAATAACCTCTTAAATTAAATAACATTTTGTTATTTTTAACTCCAATTATGTATCAAATTCAATCAATTTTTCAGTTTCAAAGTGTAAACAATTCATAAAATTGATAAATTAATAAATTTGAGACAAATTTAAAATATTTTTTTGTGTTACATCATTCAACTCCAGTGTTTTACAATTAGTTAAGTTATAATTAGTAACGGCATATTGAAAAAAATCAATAGCGATCTATAGAAACGATTGAAAATAACTCAAATATATTGATCAACGTTACAAATTTAACAGTGAATGTTTTTTTATATATTTTAGACTATTTATACATATATTAACACTAATTACAAAAGTTATATAAAATATTTTCAATTTTATATGCTGAAATGCATTGTATTTGTTTTGTAGAACATTGATAGTATAATCAATAAATTTCAAATACTCGCTCTTGGCATATAAAATAAAAAATAATTTATAAAACTTTTTCTATATATCTCTAGCTATAATGTTAGTATGTAGTGTGCATAAGTTTTTATATAAGAGTCTAATACAATTGCTGTTTTATAATGTCTCAATTTTTTGCATAAATATTCTATAAAATTTATGCATGTCCGAACTTTCATAAGCGCTAATAAAATTACGCATAGAATAGTTAAAATTTTATATTTTAACATTTTATTGTAATTATTTACCTGTTCACTTAAGTCCTCATCGAGATTATAATTGGATAACTTGTGAAGAATTGTTACTGTCTCGTTTACCTGAAATTGTTTTTATATGGAATGAAAATTTGTAGTAAAATTAAAAATTTTGCTCCCAATAAATAAAGTTTATTTCGAAGAAAACTTCAATATGTAAATTCATTGTTGCAAAATTATTGTTGTACTTATTATTCTAAATAATTAGTAATGTTTCTTTAAGCATTATTAATTATTTATAATTAGAATAATAAGTAATTATTATATAATACTATTATATAAATAATTAGTAATGCTTTAATTGTATACCTTACAATAAACAGTTTGACATATGTAGTTTAATGTGAGAAATAAGGCGCTAATACAAATGAATAAAAAAGTGCAATGAAAGTAGTGCCAAACTTCTACAGGATTCCAGGCATTATTTTTATTTCCAAATCTTAGGAGAAAATATATTTCTACATAGAACGCTATACTTTCTGAAAAGTGGTACAACATTTGTAGTAACATTTGTACATTAAATATTTTATTTAGTTTACGTGATATAAGGCATAGTTGTAAGTGGACGTGCCTGTAACAAATCGTAATTGTTATAATTAATCAACTCATAAAGACACGTATGAAAGGTACTAAGTATGAAAAGTACTAAGCAAAATATATTTTTAATCTAGAATTTTATTTAAATTATGGTTGTAATATATAATCGATTCAAAAAACATTCGTGGAATTTTTTTATATAGTTGAAGTTAATTATTTTTGTATATGTATATGTATATGCAACATA